GGCAGGCGACGTGGGAGCGGGCGATGTAGCTGAGAGGATGTGGAGGCCTAGGCAGCTGGCAGAGTCGCCGGCAAAAATGGGCGGCGGCGGCGGCGACGAAGGAGGAGGGGCGAGGGTTGCTCTTGGATGGGGGAGGGCAATGTGACACAGACCAGCGGGCCCGGGGGAGAAGAGGGCGAGCGTGCGCGCGTCCGTTATGTGTCCGCGCCGACGCAAATCCGGCTCAAAAATAGGCCGAAAATGGGTTGCCCACGGATGAAAAGTGGACGCGCGTCCGTTTGAGTCGGCGCGTTGGACCGCCTTTTGTGTTCGCGCCGACCCAAACGGACGGCGCCGGACGAAATGGGTCTCCCCGTTGGAGTTGCTCTTGGGGCGTCGGTTAGAAATGCCCATAGATGCCCCGAGTATAGAAAATATTCTTGTGGCCGGTCATTTCACATTGTAGATCCTATAAACGCCTCAAGTAAACACATCTTGATTGCAAAGTTATACTTTCTTTTGCGGGGTATTGACAAAGTTATACTTTGATCCCTGTTTATTCAAAAAACACAGTCTCGTTGTCTAATATTGTACAAAACTGCATTTCTCTTACTTTTTTTGTTTTACCTTATACTTTGTGGTTTCTGATATTTTTATATGTTTTTGTTTTTCACCGTAAAACCACTTTATGGATTATGACTCCTGATTTCTTACTGCTTGTCCTGTACCATGAAGTCAGCCAACTGAAAAGAGTTCGCCGCCAACACCTGGCCAACATGGCACCTTAGGATGTGTTTGGTTTAGGGGACATGCTAGGGTGGTTGTGGGTATCCCCAACCAGGTGGCTAGGGCTAGCCCTTTTTTCTGTTTGGTTGGAAGGGTGAGGTTATCCCATGTTTTGTTTGGTTCAAAGGATGAAGCGTGGTTGAGGATAGCCATCAGAGTGTTTGGTTCGAGGGATGAATGAAGGATAATGGTTGTGGTAACCTTTTTTACTTGAAATGGTAAGATTACCCTCATAATTTGCACCTTTTAATGGAAGGAAGGAAATACAGTATGTATAAACATAATTTAAAAAATCTTAACTTTTTCACAGCAAACAAAACAAAACAATACTAGAAATTTCAGACTTCATCACATATAATAGTTCAACATTTCATACATAAGTCAAGTGCATAGAACTCACAGTTCAGCATTCCATAGAGTACTAGTAGAACTTAATAGTTATACAACCCATAGTTACTGTCTTGGTTGTCAAAAGAGCTAATCCATACAACCCATAGTTACTGTTTTGGTTGCATCAAAAGCACAAGTCAATCACCAGTTCACCACATATGCACTCACCGTCCTTACGCTTCAGTAAAGGTATTCTTGACATACCTAGAAACCCAAACCTTCTTTTGATCCTCTTCCAACACCTTGAATGCCATAGCAACACGAGGATTGTCAACCAAATATGCGTAGTAATGAGCAAGGTAATCCAAACTGAACCCAGTAAGTACTTTCATGCTCTCCCAAAGACCATCTATGGCATTGTTCTCGGTGCTAGAACTCTTCTCTATGGCAATAGCAATTCTTTCACTGGATGCAAGTATGGTGGCATGCAACCTGTCTTCCGCACAAGGATTTGGTTTGACCTTTTTTGGTTTGGGACCGGATGAACCTGCATTGGTTGATTGTGCAACCTCTTCATGTGGCACAGTGGGTTTCTTGGTTGTCTCTTCTTCAAGATTAACCACTTCTGTAGCAAGAGGGTCACTTGAGTCTTTTGCATATTGCCCTGTAGCCATGCTCCCTCCAGCTATATTCATCATCTCCTTATAATGAATAATAGTCTTGTTAAGGTACTGTTCGTCCTCTGGATGAGCCTTGTAGAAACAATAAAAGTAATTTCAGTAAGTATTTGGACATAAAGAAACAATTTCAGCAAGTATTTGAGCATATAGGAAGAATTCCAGCAAGAATATTTTCAGCAAGTGTTGGGACTTGTAGATACTAATTTCAGCAAGTACTTGAGCATGAAGAAAGAGGTACAACAAGTGTTTGGACTTGTAGATACTAATTTCAGCAAGTATTTGAGCATTACGGAAGAAGTACAACAAGTATTTGACTTCACATAATCCATTACAGCAAGTACGGAGGAATATTCCTAGCATCTGGCTGACCCTATCCCTCCTCGTCTCAGATCCAAACGGGTGGCAGCCGTCGAAAAAAAGGGCTATCCCTGTCCCTGGGAGGATAGCCCTCAAACCAAACACATAAGGCAAACATTTACAAAAAAAATTACGTCGACTGACCACCTTATGTCTTGGGCCATTTCTAACTGCTCCCCTAAAAATAGAGGAGGATCTAGCAGAGTAAAACCTTAGTGGAGTATTTTTACTCTACTAAGTTTTGGCCGGACCTAGCCGATCCCCTAAATTTAGCGGAGTAAAACTTATAATTGGCTTTAAGCATTTCATCAAACAATTGGCACGCGCACTCCGACGACGGCAGGACGGGCAAGGCGGCGATTTAGCTCTCGCTGGCGACGTAGAAGTCACGGCACTTGTACTTGGGGAAGTGTTACATCTAGCTGGACAGGAAAACATGCCCTCCAGTCATCGGTGCCTGCATCGTTGTGGCCGTCGAGAGCAAGGTTCGCGTACATGTCGGCGCGCTAGGGGTTGGATAGGGGCTCGAGTAAAATGTATCCTCCCTTATAGGTTTTATGACTTCGGCTAGGTGCAGTGTAAGGGAGGAAAACCGAATTTATTGTCCCTTACGGTGTTAGAGCAACTCCAATAGGGCGGCCCAAACGGACGGCAATTTCGTCTGCTTTTTGTCCGTTTGGGTCGGCCGCCCGCCCGGCGTCCGCCCTGTTTTAGATATGGGTCGGCAGGGCGCCCAACGCGCCGACCCATATGTGCCGCCGTGGCTGCCTGGCCCCCCTATTTTTTGCATGATTGCATAGTTTAAAATAAAATCGTTTTGGACCGAATAAAATAGCATAGTTTATTACAAGCCAAATGAAAATAAAAAGGTCTCACATAGCTCTCAGATAGTTTTGCAAACGAATAAACGAAGATACATCTATTGGTTGCCAATATGAGCCCACATATGCTCAACCAAATCATTTTGCAGTTGCATGTGAGTTTCCCAATCATGCATGTCTTGATGAAATTGGGTGAACTGTTCAAACGTTGCCACTACTCCATGCCCAGGCACAATTTTTTTCTCACCCTGAAACTGAAACCCTTGATCATACAGACGTTCCGGGTGCTCGTCTTCTACGATCATATTATGCATGATCACACAAGCAGTCATCACCTCCCACAGTTTCTGCGTGCTCCAGGTATTAGCAGGATACCGAACAATGCCCCATCGAGATTGCAAAACACCAAAGGCACGCTCGACATCCTTCCTAGCACTCTCTTGCTCTTGGGCAAATCTTTTTCTCTTCTCTCCGACAGGGTTGGGTATTGTCTTGACAATAGTGATCCACTGAGAATAGATACCGTCACTCAGATAGTATCCTTTGTCGTAGGTGTGGCCATTGACAGTAAATTTCACCGGTGGGTTGTTGCCTTCGGCAAGCCTAGCAAACACCGGCGAGAGATGAAGCATGTTAATATCATTGTGTGATCCGGCCATGCAAAAAAAAGAGTGCGAGATCCATGAGACGCCACAGCCTCAAGTATGACAGTGCAAGCCCTGACATGGCTCTTATACTGCCCTTGCCAAGCAGAAGGGCAGTTCTTCCACTCCCAATGCATGCAGTCTATACTACCAAGCATCCCCGGGAAGCCCCTGCTGGCATTCATCGCCAACAAACGGGCTGTATCTTCAGCAGTCGGCTCTCTCAAGTACTCAGGACCAAACACAGCAATAACAGCCTTGCAGAACTTATACATGGACTCTAGGCAAGTAGACTCGTTCATACGTACGTACTCGTCAATGAGATCACTAGGCACTCCGTATGCAAGCATTTGGATGGCGGCAGTGCATTTCTGATAAGAGGAAAAACCAATCTTGCCAACGGCCTCCTTTTTGCACTCGAAATAGTCATCATAGCTGACCACCCCCTCTCTAATTAATATGGTTGAAAATATGCCTACTCATACGGAAACGGCGGCAGAATTTCTGATGTTTGAACAACGGGTTTGTTGTATCAAAGTAGTCCTTCCAAAGAAGGAAATGCCCGCTCTCTCGATTGCGATTCAACGCCGGAAGGTGGCCCAGAATGAAGCCATGGAACAATGGCCGCTGGCTGTTGAGGTGGTGATGGACCAACACGGAAGCCAATATCTCCTCCTCGTCATCGGAGGACAAATCGTCGGAGTCGCAAAAGGAAATTGTGAAAAAAGAACTCGTCGGCAGAGTCCATTTTTGTACCTTGGCAAACTATTGAACAGCTTGCGGGCGTCGGTGAAGGAGAAGGCCGACGAAGTGAGTCGCGGCGCGCACGGCCAGCTAGCTGTCCTAGCGGCGTTCGACGATCGTACCGGCCTCCGACGAGCGGCAAGGCGGCTTCTTGGTCGGGGCGGCTGTGTGGTGGGAGGGTGCGGGGGGGGGAGCAGTCGGCTCCCCGACAGCAAAGAAGGTGGTGGCAGGCGACGTAGGAGCGGGCGACGTAGCTGGGAGGATGTGGAGGCCCAGGCAGCTGGCAGAGTCGCCGGCAAAAATGGGCGGCGGCGTCGGCGACGAAGGAGGAGGGGCAAGGGTTGCTCTTGGATGGGGGAGGGCAATGTGACACAGACCAGCGGGCCCGGGGGAGAAGAGGGCGAGCGTGCGCGCGTCCGTTATGTGTCCGCGCCGACGCAAATCCGGCTCAAAAATAGGCCGAGAATGGGTCGCCCACGGATGAAAAGTGGACGCGCGTCCGTTTGAGTCGGCGCGTTGGACCGCCTTTTGTGTCCGCGCCGACCCAAACGGACGGCGCCGGACGAAATGGGTCTCCCCGTTGGAGTTGCTCTTGGGGCGTCGGTTAGAAATGCCCATAGATGCCCCGAGTATAGAAAATATTCTTGTGGCCGGTCATTTCACATTGTAGATCCTATAAACGCCTCAAGTAAACACATCTTGATTGCAATGTTATACTTTCTTTTGCGGGGTATTGACAAAGTTATACATTGATCCCTGTTTATTCAAAAAACACAGTCTCGTTGTCTAATATTGTACAAAAGTGCATTTCTCTTATTTTTTTATGTTTTACCTTATACTTTGTGGTTTCTGATATTTTTATATGTTTTTGTTTTTCACCGTAAAACCACTTTATGGATTCTGACTCCTGATTTCTTACTGCTTGTCCTGTACCATGAAGTCAGCCAGCTGAAAAGAGTTCGCCGTCAACACCTGTCCAACATGGCACCTTAGGATGTGTTTGGTTTAGGGGACATGCTAGGGTGGTTGTGGGTATCCCCAACCAGGTGGCTAGGGATATCCCTTTTTTCTGTTTGGTTGGAAGGGTGAGGTTATCCCATATTTTGTTTGGTTCAAAGGATGAAGCGTGGTTGAGGATAGCCATCAGAGTGTTTGGTTCGAGGGATGAATGAAGGATAATGGTTGTGGTAACCTTTTTTACTTGAAATGGTAAGATTACCCTCATAATTTGCACCTTTTAATGGAAGAAAGGAAATACAGTATGTATAAACATAATTTAAAAAATCTTAACTTTTTCACAGCAAACAAAACAAAACAATACTAGAAATTTCAGACTTCATCACATATAATAGTTCAACATTTCATACATAAGTCAAGTGCATAGAACTCACAGTTCAGCATTCCATAGAGTACTAGTAGAACTTAATAGTTATACAACCCATAGTTACTGTCTTGGTTGTCAAAAGAGCTAATCCATACAACCCATAGTTACTGTTTTGGTTGCATCAAAAGCACAAGTCAATCACCAGTTCACCACATATGCACTCACCGTCCTTACGCTTTAGGAAAGGTATTCTTGACATACCTAGAAACCCAAACCTTCTTTTGATCCTCTTCCAACACCTTGAATGCCATAGCAACACGAGGATTGTCAACCAAATATGCATAGTAATGAGCAAGGTAATCCAAACTGAACCCAGGAAGTACTTTCATGCTCTCGCAAAGACCATCTATGGCATTGTTCTCGGTGCTAGAATTCTTCTCTATGGCAATAGCAATTCTTTCACTGGATGCGAGTATTGTGGCATGCAACCTGTCTTCCGCACAAGGATTTGGTTTGGCCTTTTTTGGTTTGGGACCGGATGAACCTGCATTGGTTGATTGTGCAACCTCTTCATGTGGCACAGTGGGTTTCTTGGTTGTCTCTTCTTCAAGATTAACCACTTCTGTAGCAAGAGGGTCACTTGAGTCTTTTGCATATTGCCCTGTAGCCATGCTCCCTCCAGCTATATTCATCATCTCCTTATAATGAATAATAGTCTTGTTAAGGTACTGTTCGTCCTCTGGATGAGCCTTGTAGAAACAATAAAAGTAATTTCAGTAAGTATTTGGACATAAAGAAACAATTTCAGCAAGTATTTGAGCATATAGGAAGAATTCCAGCAAGAATATTTTCAGCAAGTGTTGGGACTTGTAGATACTAATTTCAGCAAGTACTTGAGCATGAAGAAAGAGGTACAGCAAGTGTTTGGACTTGTAGATACTAATTTCAGCAAGTATTTGAGCATTACGGAAGAAGTACAGCAAGTATTTGACTTCACATAATCCATGACAGCAAGTACGGAGGAATATTCCTAGCATCTGGCTGACCCTATCCCTCCTCGTCTCAGATCCAAACGGGTGGCAGCCATCGAAAAAAGGGCTATCCCTGTCCCTGGGAGGATAGCCCTCAAACCAAACACATCCTTACTGAAAGTACCAGGCTGAAAAGGTCAACCCCAAGTGTGCAGACTAGTAGATGTATGGAAATTGAATAATCAACATTCTTTCTAGCTCTCTCTTTTGATTGGTTGGCAGCCTGGTTGGTTTGCTCTCCAGACAAGAAACAATCAATGCAAAGTTATGCATGTCCTGTAAAATCATTAGAGTATAATACATATCCATACTGCAAAATGATATGGCTTGATTGTCCTCTGAACTGTCATACAACACTTTCTATGTTTCCAGGTGATCCTGAGGATATATTTGTTAGATGTGTATAGTCCCTTTTCGGTATATCCCCGTTGTATAAGGGGTTTTCTGCACTTTGACACACATGTATATGTAATGGCCTTTGGCCCTCAGGGGAGATGGTTGCTCATTATCCAACATGGTATCAGATGTTAGGTTCCCCTCTCCCCCGCACGCTGCAACTCCGTGCTAGATTTCTCCCGATTCCGGCCTATCCTGTCCCGGATCTGGCTGCCCCGGCCAGGTCCCTGCTGTCTCGCGCCCGGCCGGCCTCGTCCACGACCCAGCTACCTCCTCTTCGCTCCGCTCTCCCCATCTGCCCCGCCGGCACCCGCTCACCGGCTGCTTCCCTCGAGCTCGTCCGGGTTTCGGCCGCTCCCTCGCGCCTCCGCCGCCGCCCAGTCCGGCCGCTCCCCTCCCTCCCGCCGAGCCCTGCTCTAGCTGTTGCCGCCGGCCTCTGGGCTCTGCTCGCCTGGCCGCGCGAGCGTGCGGGAGGCCCGCGAGAGGCCCGCGCGTGCGCGTGCGGGAGGCTCACGAGCGAGCGCTCGTTCCAGCGCCTGAGGGGCATGCTCACCTCGATCCAGCTCGCGAGCGAGCACGCGAGGTGCCTGATCCCCTCGATCTCGCATGAGCGTGCTGGATCCCCTCAATCCAGTGCATGGGTTTTCCTGTTTCCGTTGACTCAAAAAAAAAGACAATCAGCATGTCTTCGTCTGGCTATGTAGTTGTTCCTTGGTGCTCGGTGATCTTCGATGGCACCAACTATGCTGAGTTTGTGGGGTTCATGCGTATCCACATGCGCGGACTTCTTCTGTGGAGTGTTCTCTCTGGCGAGGTACCATGTCCGCCCTGCCCTGTTGCTCCGGTGGCTCCTGTTCCGCCGGTACCACCGGTCCTTGCTCCTGATGCTTCTCAGGCTAGTCGGAATGCAGCCAAGGCCCTTGATGATGCTGCAGTTGATACCTATGATCAGCAGGTATCCTCTTACTCTGATGCCCTCTCAGTCTACCGGGATGATCTGTCTGCTTACACTCAGTGGTGCAATGATGATGCTCGAGCTGCTGCTGTTCTCACTGCCAGTGTCCTTCCTCAGTTTGCTTCCGAGTTCATGGCCCTTGGCACTGTTGCAGCGATGTGGTCCTATCTTTGTTAGCGCTATCAGCCCTCTGGCGATGCTTTATACCTCTCTGTGGTGCGTCAGGAGCATGCTCTTCAGCAGGGTGACTCGTCTGTTGATGAGTTCTATTCATAGTGCTCTGCCATCTGGCGTCAGCTTGACTCACTGCGGACAGTTGTTTGTGGCACTTGCCGTTGTTGTCAGACTACGCAGTCTGACTTGGAGTTTCAGAGGGTTCATGAGTTCTTATCTCGTCTCCGCTCCGAGTTTGAGCCCAGGCGTGCTCACTTGCTTGCTCGTGGTCGTGTCCCTATCTCGGAGGTGCTTGCCGAGCTTCGTGCTGAGGAGACACGCCTTCGCTCTGCTGGGTTGCTTCTGGTTCCGTCAGTATTGGCTACCCGGGCTCCTGTGTCGTCTGCTCGCATCACTGCTCCGCCGCTCCTGCCTACTCCTCTAGGGGGGTGAGCCGTCCTTCTTATGCTGAGAAGGGCACGTCACGCTGTGACACCGTTTGTGGTTACTGCTCCCGGCAAGGTCACCCAGAGTCTGATTGTCGTCAAAAGAAGCGAGACCAGAGGCTCTCCTCCTCCAGCGGGCCTCCTGTGTCTTCCTCGACTCCGTCACTCACTGACTAGGACATTGTTCGCCTCAAGCGTCTCCTTGCTTCCTCAGGCTCCTCGTCGACTGGCTCTGCTGCTGTTGTGACTGCATCCTCCTCCTCACCATCACAGGCATCTACACAGTCAGGTACATCTTCGTGGGTTCTGGATTCTGGAGCCTCTTTTCATATGTCTTCTGATTCTTCCGTGTTGTCTTCTCTCCGACCTCTTGATTCGCCTGTCAATGTTCTTACTGCCGATGGCACATCTCTTCCTGTTGCTAGTCGTGGTATTCTTTCCACTCCATCTTTTTCTGTTCCGAGTGTTTCACATGTTCCTCACCTTACCATGAATCTTTTTTCCGCTGCCCAACTTACTGATTCTGGTTGTCGTGTCATTCTTGATACCGACTCTTGCTCCATTCAGGATCGTCGCACCAAGGCTTTGGTTGGTGCTGGCCCCCGGCGCCGTGAGTCAGAGGGCCTTTGGGAGGTTGACTGGCTTTGTGTTCCTTCCGCTGCCACCACTGATGCCAGCTCTCATGCTCTTGCCGCCTCTTCGTCTGCGTCCTTCCAGCAGTGGCATCATCGCCTCGGTCACATCTATGGCTCTCGCTTGTCTTCCTTAGTTCGTCAGGGCCTCTTAGGGTCTGTATCTGGAGATGTCTCCTTACATTGTAATGGCTGCAGACTTGGCAAACAGACTCAGTTACCTTATCCCACTAGTGAGTCTGTATCTCAGCGTCCTTTTGACTTAGTTCATTCTGATGTCTGGGGTCCTGCTCCCTTTGATTTGAAAGGTGGTCATCGCTACTATGTTTTGTTTATTGATGATTTCTCTCGCTACACTTGGCTCTACTTTATGAAATCTCGTAGCGAGGTTCTCCCTATATACAAACGCTTTGCTGCCATGGTTCACACCCAGTTTGCCACGCCCATTCGTACTTTTCGTGCTGACTCCGCTGGAGAGTATATCTCTCAGCTGTTGCGTGGTTTTCTCGCGGAATAGGGTACTCTTGCCCAGTTCTCCTGTTCGGGTGCTCATGCTCAGAATGGTGTTGCCGAGTGGAAGCATCGTCATTTGCTTGAGACGGCTCGTGCGCTAATGATTGCTGCTTCCCTTCCACCCCATTTTTGGGCTGAGGCTGTTTCCGCATCCACCTATCTCATCAACATTCAGCCATCGACTGCTCTACAGGGTGGCATTCCTATGGAGTGTCTCACCGGTCGCTCTCCTGACTACTCAGCTCTTCGTATGTTTGGATGCGTCTGCTATGTTCTTCTTGCCCCCCGCGAACGCACCAAACTGACTGCTCAGTCGGTCGAGTGTGTTTTCCTTGGCTACAGTGATGAGCACAAGGGCTGTGTTGGGATCCAGTGGGTCATCGCTTGCGCATCTCGCTTGATGTGACTTTTGACGAGTCTCGCTCTTACTACCCACGTTCTTCTTCCTCGAGCTTCTCTATGGACGACCTTTCTTTCCTTCTTCTCCCCGATACACCCTGCTATGTGCCTCATGTGTCACCTCTTCCTCCGGCACCTCTCCTTCCTTCTCATTCACCTCCGACCCCGTCTTCTCCCTCCTCCTCCTCCACCTCTCCCCCATCCTCTCTAGTCCGTCGCCCTCTCTCACCATTTCCTCTCCACTATACTCGACGTTCTCGTACTGAGGATATTGCCTCTGACGAGCCTTCCACCTCAGGTGCACCTCCTCTCACACCCCCTCCGGTTCATAACCTCCATGCTCAGCCTCGCCCTCCGCCTGATCGCTACTCCCATGATTGGTACGGGTCTCTCTGTTTTGACTGAGCCCACTTCCTATCGCACTGCCATGACTCAGCCGGAATGGCAGCTTGCGATGGCCGAGGAGCTTGCTACCCTTGAGCGCTCTGGCACATGGGATCTCGTTCCCCTCCCTTCCGGTGTCTGTACCATCACCTACAAGTGGGTCTACAAGCTTAAGACTCGCTCCGATGGTTCTCTTGAGCGCTACAAAGCTCGTCTTGTGGCCCGTGGATTTCAGCAAGAGCAGGGGCGTGATTATGATGAGACTTTCGCTCCTGTGGCCCACATGACCACTATCCGCACTCTTCTTGCTGTGGCTTCTGTTCGTCAGTGGTCTATCTCTCAACTTGATGTTCAGAACGCTTTTCTCAATGGCGAGTTGTGTGAGGAGGTTTATATGCAGCCACCACAGGGGTACTATACTCCTGATGGTATGGTCTGTAGACTTCGCCGCTCTCTATATGGTCTCAAACAGGCCCCTCGCGCCTGGTTTGAGCGCTTCGCATCTGTGGTGACCGCGGCTGGTTTCTTGCCCAGTGACCATGATCCCGCGCTGTTTGGTCACACATCTCCTCGTGGTCGGACTCTTCTCCTTCTCTATGTTGATGACATGATCATCACTGGTGACGACACTGATTACATCGCCTTTGTTAAGGCCCGCCTTCATGAGCAGTTCCTTATGACTGAACTTGGTCCTCTTTGCTATTTTCTTGGGATTGAGATCTCCTCCACCTCTGATGGCTTCTACATCTCTCAAGAGAAATACATTCAGGATCTTCTTGCTCGAGT